TCTCAGAATATTTATTAATGTCTGTCAGTTCCTTTTTTTGGCCTTTGAACTGCGAAAGGTCAAGTTTACTTGACACACGCTCAGCTGGGAAATGTTATTTCTGCAAGTTACTGTGGCTGTACCTAGGAGAACTTCACTAGACAAAAAGGCAGTGAAAAATAATAAATACACAAAGGTTTTTCATCTTACCAGCATTCCCTTCTCAACATCGTTACACACAAACAGCACAAATATATAAAATGTACAGCCATCGACGATTCTAAAGATGAATGGCTCCCATCACATAATCCAGATCTGTTCGTAAAAGTGAAGTGTTTTCATTCTAAACAATCTGCATTCAGGGCAATGTCAGGTTATTAGCCTTCAGAAATCCCTGAGCGTAATGTAATATTACACTCGGTTGGTGTTGGATCACTAGAGGACGAGAGAATAACTAATTCTTCCAGAACCCTGCGCTTTATGAACAACCAGCAATAAAGTATATAAACTGAACTATTAGACTTTATAATGTATTTTATAGTCCTCAAGAGTCATTCCAGCCAATCAGATCACAGACTGAATGGGCACTGCCCCATGGCAGCTCCCTGGCATGATGAACAACAGAGAGGATATAACCGTGCCTACTAATGAAGGAATAAATGTTTGTGCGTTTGTTTTTGACCATTCGAATGAAGTCAGTGACGACTGACGTGCCCAGACTTGTAAAAAACAAAGGTCTGAGGACTGGCACAAAACATCTTATGAATCTGTCTACATTCACTAGGTTCTCTGTATAAATTATAGATTTTGTTTGTACCGAGAATCTGTTTTAATCTTTGTGGTATTTCTCGATATAAAAGAATAATACCTCTTCTAATAAAATACCCACCAGGGAACTTGGCACTGGTTTCAGTATCCATATTTATGTTCTATTAAACAGGCAAGTGAACTGGGCAGAGCAGAAAAACAGCTGTATTGGTACAAAAACCCGTGGGGTGTCGATTGCCATCCGTCACCTTTAACACTACATCAACAGTGGATCCAAAGGGTCACGGCCACCTAGCCGTCTTGCAGCGTCCCGCTACGGGAAGCCGGGGCCCGTGCGTCCGCTTTAAGCACTGCGATCAGCGTCGCCACGGAGCGGATTTTTCTTTGATGAAGCAAACATGCACAGGGCCAAGAACAGCAAGTGCCACTGTCGAAATGTAAATCAAAAAACCACCCGCGTGCACGGTCACACGCGCTGAGAAGTCTGGAGACGCAGTTGCTGCCGTCTAAAAATGCATGAGTAATTCAGCCCATGTAGATGTGCGGTTAGCTGTGGCATGTCCCCCTGGCACAGGCCGAGAGCGAGTAGCCCCTTCATCTCAGTACGGAGTCAGGGAGACAGAGCGAGTAGGCAAAACAATCAGATCCATTTCACATGAGGCAGGAATTCGACCCCTATATCAAAAAGCAAGAGGGAAAAAAGGTGGTGTGTGGGTGCATTTTTATGAGTGATTCTCAAGACATGGTCCAAGCTAAAAATACACTTTATGATGACACATCGGAGCCAATTTTGTTTTTCCTCCGTTTAAGCCCAGGTCCAGAGCACATTTCCTCTGGTATTCCAGCGATATTTCGACACTTATTCAAACCAGATAATATTTTTTTTAACAGAATTATTGGGTTGAGTGTTGTATTGGCAGGGCGAGGGTGAAGTGAAATGAAGGAGGATTCAGGCCGTTTCTTTGGCTTAGTATTACGCATCCCACAAGCATAAATAAAACAAAACTGAACATGAGCTATGACATCACAGGTGCCATAAAAAGCCTAAATTGTAGTCATAATCCAACCAGTAATAAAGGTTGCCGACGTCTGAATGTTTTACCTCAGGATTGATTGACAGTACATTGAGGTTTTACAGATTATTTGAAAAAGTACAATGGAATGATCCCAAACCATAATGATTGAGTGTCAGATGCTGTAATCTTCTAAAACCACAAGAGTATCTTTCATCAAACGCTACTCGATTAGACTATAAAATGTTTTTCAGACTTTCCGCAGATTATGCCTCACCGACCGCATCTTTCTCTCAAAAATAAGTTTGTTAACTCCCTGCCAAATTAAGCTGAATGAACACATGAGAAGGTCCTCTAGGGACCTCTTTGTGAGAAATGATTCAATGACTTCCATTACAGCAAGCTGGCTCTTAAACGCTTGGTGACTGACGCTGAAAAATGTTCACTTGTCAAACGTTTGCTCGGTGATGTCATCGACCAAGGTAAAATAGCAATGCACATTGATCATGAGGACTTTGTGAATCAATGGAACAAGCTGCAAACATTACAGTTTCCCCACACAATCAGTTTATCCATGCCTCATTCTGATGTCATAGGAGTTCCCCAAAAGACGTGGGCCGCGGTCGAGTAGGATGCGTGGGAGTGAGAGCCCAACTGCAGAGAACTCAAGTGTGTGTAAGTGTGAGAGGAAGCCCAAATACAAGAGAAAAGAGCGGAAAATGCTCAGGGGAGAGCAGGTAATTGCGCTTTCCAAAAAGTCCACAGCAGTTTAGCAATGATGCAACCACCGACGTCAACATTTTTTAAAACTCGAGTGCAGTCAGCCACAGCAACTAAAACAAAGCAATCTTGTGGACAACACATGTTTACAGAAACCAATAAAGCTAGTTGCTGTATATCAACATCCACCTATAAATTACCTGAATGAGAACTTTTAAATCTGATCAATCTGGGGTTTTATAATAATTTCTAATAATTAATCATTCATGACAGCACCACACATCCTGAGACATACAGAATATCAGCCTAACAAGCACAGGAGGCTTCATCAAGCCACAGGAATTCAACTTATGAGTGCAAATGCCACATTTTAGAGTGACCAAACGGTGCTGAGTTTGTATATGTGTGTGGGAGTAGACCCATTACCATAGAAACCCGAAACACTATAGCAATGACTCCCTTTAGAGTCAATTACTCATTTTTTCATGAGCTGAATCAACACTTCAACGTGGGAGTTTGTCTGTGAATACTAAGTATTACCTTGTGCTAAAAAAACACAAGTACAGACAATCACAGCAATTCTTATAATGATAACCTCATATGCTAAAAATTACCTTAATTGGACGACTTCAGAATGTTCGATTTAAAATCATTCACTGCTATGACTAACAGTACTCCAGCTCAGAAAGTAGAAATGTGAAAAATTATCTGACTATATTTATCAATGTACCACACATCAGCAACTGACTTTTCCAGGAGACAAAAAGCCAAAGAACAAGTTAACTAGCCATGTTAAAAAGATTTTGTCCCATCGGACTAGCGCTGAGTTCATGTACATGTGTGAAGCCTTGACAACTCACTGGTTGCATGGCCACGACTTTCGTACATAACTAATAACTATTTGTAAAACATGAATGCTGCTGTAATAAATGCATCACCCAGGTAATTTTACCTTGCTTGATAACATGTCTACACAAGGTTTTGTTGAACTGGCAAGAGCTTCAAACTACTTAGCTACAAAACAGTTAAATAATTAACTGAAACTATCTTGAAAGCATAAACCTAAATGGATTGAAAAAATTGAAAAAAGTATAATTTCTTACCTTATGCCATATTCAAGGCAAATTCCATTATGTCATATTCGGATTCAAGCAAAAAATCTGTGACGTGACATGCAATCAACTTTTGTTATGTTCTTGTTTACAAATTGGTAAGGCTCATGACTTTTACTAGAAAGCGAATACATATGGTGCAAAAACTGCATATTTTTAGCTATTACTGTAAATTAGAATCCTGATAAATGACCTGCTATCTGTAAAGAGAATTATATATAGAGTACGTATGAATCCGACTACTGGCCTGCTGAAGAAGAAAATCCTTAATTGAGCCCTAAAAATTAACTGCAGCACTAAATAAATCTGTGCAAGAATAATTGGGGGAAAAGAAAAGGCATCTTCAGAAAAAAAATAAAAATAAAAATCACCATTCTCAAAAATATAAAAAAAGACTTTACCTATAGGTAGGGTTAAATATTTTTACATTTTCTGCCACATAACATAATTTTCTGTACAATCATGCATGTTCTGCCACTGCACCTGATCAATGACTTTTTTTTTAAACGGACTAAATTTTGTCTTCAAGTTACAGCCTACAGTATGCTCACAACAGACTATCACAGATCAATGCAGAATCATATAATCAATGCTAGAAAAAAAGAAGTCAAACATTTTTAAAAAAATATTTCCTATATGAAACGAATAAGATGAAATCTCAAACATGTTCTCTGAAACATGTCAACAAGATCACGCAACACACTATGCTTCCAAACATTTCACAAAAGTCTCATTTCATTCCTTTCCAGCAATGTAAATATGATGCTCAAATTGCTCAAAACATTAGTGTTCCCTTCTGTCAAATGCATCTGATAGGCATTGAAATTATTCACTTTGGACGGGGGAGAGTTGTGGAACCAAGTCTCATAAATGCTGAGACACATTCGAAAAACATTTGGTTTGAATTTGTCAGGCAAACATTTTAATCAAACCCTCTGAGTCTCTTTTGTGACAAGGTATGATTACTAATATAAGTCAAATTTGTATAATCATAAGCTGGAGTAAGCGGTTAACTGTGTCAGCCTACGCAATCCCACGCCATTGTAGCATCATCTAAACAGGGTGACCACCCTGGTCCAATACAAGAGAGCCCCGTTTCTGAGGGACGCATGGCATGCTCAACATTACTTACGATAAGAGTGTCACAAATCAAAACACACATATGCACATAAACACATATGCATGCATACACTGAAGAGTATAGTCAATAGAATGTGTGTTCCTTCTACCAAGAAAACTAGCACGTATTAAAATGCTTTTATGACAAAAATGAACCAGGTTACTGAATCGTGTTCAAGTTATGCACCCAAACATATCAATTCTGTTGTCATTTACTCTCCCTCATGTGGTATTTGTAAACCTGTATAACCTTCTTTCATCCATAGAACACAGAAGGCAGAATGACAGTCTCAGTCACCATTCACTTTCATTTGGAAAAAAGATGCAATGACAGTGAACAGTGACTGAAACTGTAAATCCCTAACATCTTTTGTGTTCCACAGTAGAGTTAAGTTTGGAGCAATGTGAGGATGAGAAGGATGACAGAATTTTACTTTGTGGATCAACTCTCTCTTTAAATAATCTACGTAATAATAAATTAATGTACGCCTATTTAGCGATCAAATAGGATACCTATATTGACACACACAAAAAAAAACGTTTGCACGTGCGAGTTTAATATCTTCGACCATATGAAAATAATCTTTTTGATAATGTTTTTTTTAAGGGTCGCATTGCTATCCGCGATACATTTAACACACTTCAAAACACCATAACCTCGGCTCTAGCAACGAGGAATTGCCTCAAAATGTGTCAAAATACGGCGACAAGACGATCTCGATGCAGTTTTGCGGTTGCATAAATTACGCCCACGTATTATTAGCCTACGCATTCAAATAGCCTATGACCATATATCGATGTCAGTTTGAGACATGTAAGGTAAGTTAAAGAAAAAAAAGTATCTGATTTTCAATGTATAGTATCTGGTTATGCAACAAAATAAATGAATAGGCTACATCCAAACAAAATGTATATTATATAGCCTATACAAATTTTGAATCTATTTAGAAAATTGAAATGACCTATATATTTTAAAACAGTCAAAGGTTTTCAAAAACTAACATTTTTGGCTCTATTATGCAGATTGACATTTGGCATAATTAGAAGTTACAGAAGCCGCAATAAGATACATTTATTTTGATGCTAAATATTTTATTGCTATTTTATGCGTGCATTCTTAATTATGCCCCGCCATGGCTGTTTTGACTTTAATCCATAAACCATATTAAGATTGCATTAAAAATAGCCGTAAAAGTCGATCAAATACGCTCGCAGGTACATACCATCTGGTGACATGGTGAAGCAGTGGAGTTTGGATGTGTGATGCGCGTGGAGTTTGAGATCTTCAGATCCGCAGCGCATCTGTATCGAGGCGGGATTCGAACTACTGCAGCCGTCAGAAGAGACGTGTTTCGGGCAGATGTCTGTTTTACTGCTGAACATGGAGAAAGTCAGCTCGGTGAAATCTGTCTGATGACTGACCCTGCCAAAGAGCGATGCAGGCTTCTGCATCTGGACCTCTGACTTCCAAGTGTGCATGTCAGTCCACGTACAATATAGTCCTTTATCGTTTCTTTTACCTGTGGGATTAAGTGTAACACAATGAACTTGAATTTAACAAACAAACTATTATAGCTCTCAAATGACTCTGAAGCAACATGATAAACATATAGCCAAAACAAAACTTTATAATACAATAAAACACCATGCAAAATTAAATGTTGTCGTAGATTTGAAAACATACCTATTTAAACCCTCCAAAGCAAGATAGAGAGGATATTTTGATTGAATGGTGACTCTCAACTTCTGCGTCAAACAGGCTGTTAAATGTGTTCTTACCGACCGCATCCTCTCTCCCGTTTCAGCTGCAATTTTATGAGTTTTCTATAACATCAATTCTGAAAACCAAAACATGCGTCTATGCTCCGATTGACAGCTCGAAGTGCCAATGAACATACACTGCTGAAAGGGGAGGGACCAATCGGGAACAAACTGGATGCTTGCGATGTGAATGGTGAAATTGATCTTGATCTGGTAATAGTTTGCATTTACACAACTAAAACAGACCTTTATAACTTATAACAAGCTATGGCATATATAAGATTCATCACCTCACAGGATCATTATAGACAACAACAATCAAGAATAAATAAGATCAATAATAAATATTTTATAATTACTTGTAGGACGATGTGTTAGTAACGAAAAAAAAAACCATAGCTTTTATTTTTATGGCTTTCTGTTTAAAGGATAAGACAAAAAGGCGAAATTAATAGAAAAAGTCTGTCATTAAATATGTCAACAGTGACATCTTATGGACATTTTTAGAAACTAACATTGGAGCTTCTTATATAGGCCCATATATATACCCAGGAATAGACTTTTGTCCTCTGTAGTGGACATTATATTTTTAGTGAATTTCTCTGACATGTCACAGTTATAAAGTCTGGATGTCCTGTAAAGAGCACATTCAGAGATGACTGACATTAGTTTAGTGATCAAATTTAGCACTCTTATTGAAATGTGATAATATTTAGTAATTATCATTTAAATCTGACTAATTTTCTAATTGTTTATCATAAATCAACATCTCAGGAAAATGTTTTGGAGTTTCTAATCAAAATGTGTCTTTCTGTTACAAAATAGGGCATTGATTTCAAACATGTCCAGTGTAGTGGACACCAGTTTATCAGGCATTTTGGGAGACACAACAAGTGAATAGGGAAATAATCAGTACATTAATATTCCTATGAAATATTAAATATTAAATATTATCAGGAAAAAGAAGAACACATTAATATGCAAATTGGATACAATGCATAGATGAACAGAATTTATAGAATTTATGGCCATTTTATCCACAAATTGCATAAAGTGAAATGGTTTATCAATTCATTCCATTATATATTTCATAACAAATCATCTTAATACAAAGTTTGGTTGAAAAAAATACTCAAACCTAAAAACTGATTGGTGAATGAAATAAATATCCTATTGTTTTTGCCTAGACATGTCATTTCATATCTTTTTATTTTTCAAACAATATATATATTTTTTTTTTTTCAAAAATGCTATTTTTATTATACAGAAAAAAATATATAAACTATGATACGAATACAATATAAGGTTTACATTTCCATGTGCATAGAGCTAAGTGAAGTTAAGAATTCCTATGTCTTCTTACTGATAACGATACTGATGCATCCTTTTAAAGGGGTGATGAACTGAGAAATCAAATTTTCCTTGAGCTTTTGACATCTAAGAGGTCAAAAATTATACGAATATCCTGTAAGTTAGAGAACTGAAAACGTCCTTGTTAGTCCAATAAAAGCTTTTATTGACACCAGGCTCAGCAAACGACTCGTTTTTCAAAGTGGGGAACTATGACGACAAAGAGGATTAAACACCACCCCCGCAGAAGCTAACGTACTCGGTTACTAACGTAACCTGGGTTCTCTCTAGAGAGGGAACGAGTATTGCGTAAGTTTAGCTTACGCTACGGGAAAGATAACATCTTCTCAAGATATTGAAGCCAAAAAATTATCCTTAATTTTGTATTCATTGTCAACGCAGTGCAGCAGCTAGCAGACCTAGAGCAGGCAGTCTTGCGTGCTCATTGGCTGCCCTGCGGGCATCTGCTGCAGCCTACCAGTGAGCCCCGCGTGACGTCACGCCCAATGAAGGGCGCCCGTGCCTTCATAGCGTCATAGCCCGCCAGAATGGGCGTGGCTTAGCGTATAAAAGAAGAGGCTGTAGGCTGAATTCCCTGGTTTTCGTCGACTGAAGCGAAGTCGCTCGTGGTGCGAGCACGGCCGGTTACGCAATACTCGTTCCCTCTCTAGAGAGAACCGAGGTTACGTCAGTAACCGAGTACGTTCTCTTCCGAGAGGTTCTCTCGTATTGCGTAAGTTTAGCTTATGCTACGGGAACTTTTTGTCAACACCGTGCGCGCCAAGCAACCACCCATGAGTCGCCGAGGTTTCTCAGGGAACCCAATAAGTGGAAAAATAAGGTGGCCAGCCACGCGGGCCATCACTCATACATAAGCACACATAGGGAATACAGAGCAGAGCACTGGTCTGTGTAAGCATATAGCACATCCCTACTAGTGCAGCTCAACCAGGAGAGCTGAGTCACGTGAGAGTGGTCTGAGCATGATATATCTGGGCAGAACGGACAACTCGCTTAGACTGACAGAAGTTTAGCCTGCAGGGCGGGAACTTCTAGGTTATAGAACCTGACAAAGGTAGACGGGGAGCTCCAGCCCGCCGCTACACATATGTCGTGGATAGAAATCCCGCTGGACCACGCCGACGATGAGGCCATGCCTCTAGTGGAATGAGCCCTGATGCCCAGAGGGTATTATAGACCTTTTGATGCGTAAGCGGCCGCTATAGCGTCCACTATCCATCTAGACAGAGTCTGTTTCGAAGCAGCGAGACCATTGGCGCGCCCACCAAACGAAACAAACAGCTGCTCCGTGCGCCTGAAAGAGGCGGAGCGCGTAGTGTAAAACCTCAGCGCCCTGACCGGGCAAAGGAGATTCACGTCTGTCTCACTGTCTGACGCTGGCAGAGCCGACAGTGAAATGACTTGCACTCTGAAAAGGAGTGCCCATCACTTTTGGAACATAGCCATGTCTAGGTTTGAGGATGACTTTCGAGTCATTCGGCCCGAACTCAAGACACGTCGCGCTGATTGACAGCGCGTGCAGGTCCCCCACACGTTTGACTGATGACAGCGCGGTCAGAATAATTTTTTTTAGTGATAGGTATTTTAACTCCACGGAGTCTAGTTGCTCAAATGGGAAGGCTTTCAGGGCCTCGAGGACCAAGGAAAGATCCCACATAGGAACCGACGGGGGCGCGGCAGATTCATCCTTCTAGCTCCCCTAAGGAAGCGGATGACCAGCTCATGTCTTCCCAGTGACTGGCCGTGCGTCGATTCTGCGAACGCCGCCACGGCCACCACATAAACTTTGAGCGTGGATGGGGACCTTCTTTTATCCATCAGCTCTTGTAGGAAAGTGAGCAGATGCGCAAACTCGCACGTCCGCGGGTCCAGAACTCTGTCGGTGCACCACTTGGAGAACACTGACCATTTAGACGCATAGAGCCTTCTCGTGGAAGGAGCTCTAGACTGCGTGATTGTGTTCATCACTCTTTCTGGCAGGGCAACGATTACCTGTTGATCAACCATTCGTGCAGAGACCAGCGCTCTTGATGGGGATGGCAGATCGAGCCGCGAGCCTGAGAGAGGAGATCTGCCCTCACCGGAATAGGCCACGGAGCTGCATGTGACAGCCGTGCTAGTTCCGGGAACCAATTCTGATTCTCCCAGTGCGGAGCTATGAAAAGCACAGAGTGGTGCGTTTCCCTGATTCTCTTGATCACCTGTGGTAACAGGAAGACTGGAGGGAAAGCATACAGTGGGAGGCTGGGCCAGACCTGGGCCAGCGCGTCCTCGTTCTTCGAAAAGAACATCGGGCAATGAGCGTTGTCTTTTGACGCAAATAGGTCGACTTCTGCTCTGCCGAATAGGTGCCACAGTTTCTGGACTGTTTGGGGGTGCAGGGACCGTCCCCTGGGGGACAGTTTGTCTGGGCCGTCGTTCAAATGGCCAGGCACATGCGCCGCCCTCAGCGAGCGCAGGTGCATCTGGGACCAAATAAGGATGCGTTCCGTCAGATTGCAGAGGTTTCTGGATCTGACACCGCCCTGATGGTTTACATAGGAAACCACAGACATGTTGTCAGAGCGGACGAGAACATGTTGGTCCTGTATGAACGGGAGGAAGCGCTTCAGCGCGTTCTCGACTGCTATCATTTCCAGACAGTTTATGTGAAAACACTTCTCTTGCTCTGACCACTGGCCAAAGGCCGGTCTGCCTTCGAACAGCGCGCCCCAACCCGAGTTGGACCCGTCTGTCGAAATGACTTTCCGATAAGAGATGGTTCCCATCATCACTCCCTGCTGGTACCGGTCGGCAACTAACCAGGGCTGCAGAGCCGCTATGCAGGTCAGAGTCACTCTGATTTTCTGGCCGCCAGAAACCAAGGCTCGGCGAGACACGCGAGCATTCAACCAGCGTTGGAGCGGGCGCAGCGCAGTAGGTCCAGCTGGAGCACCGCTGCCGCTGAGGCCATACAGCCCAGCATCCTTTGAAACTTTTTCAAAGGGAGAAAGCTGCCCTTCTGGAAAGACGCGGCTAGGCAGCGAACACGGCGCGCGCGCTGTGTCGACAAACGAGCCGTCATGGCCACAGAATTCAGTTCTATTCCTAAAAAGGGAATTGACTGACTGGGCATTAATGAGCTCTTGGTCCAGTTCACCGTGAGACCCAAGCTTTCCAGGTGACTGAGAAGCACTGTTCTTTGAGATAACAGTTCCGTCTCTGACTGTGCCAATATCAGCCAATCGTCCAGAGAGTTCTCAGGGGGGCGAGCGCCGCGTCCATGCACTTCGTAAATGTGTGGGGTGCTAGAGACAGGCCGAACGGCAGGACGGTGTATTGATATACCTGACCGTCGAAGGCGAATCTCAAAAATTGCCTGTGACGTGGTAATATCTGAATCTGAAAATAGGCATCCTTCAGATCTAGAGAATAAACCAGTCCCTCGGGCGAACGTGCGCGAGGATTTTTCTGGTCGTAAGCATTTTGAACGGTCTTTTTGCAAGCGCCTTGTTCAAATGTCTCAGATCTAGGATAGGTCTGAAAGCTCCGTCCTTCTTGGGTACGAGAAAAATATTGGCTGTAAAAGCCTGACTCGCTCAGAGAAGGCGGTACTTTTTCTATAGCCCCTTTGCACAGCAGTTTTGCTATTTCTGCGTGAAGTAAGTGTGCTACTTCCGCATTCACTATCGTCGCGGTCCGGGCTCGAAAGCCCGGGGGACGGCGAATGAATTGAAGTGTATAGCCCTGCTTTAATGTGCTCAGAACCCATTCTGAAATCCCTGGGATAGTTTCCCACGCAGCTATGTGAGCCGCTAGGGGGCGAATGGCCTCCGGGTTCAGATCGCCGCCATTTGC